ACCTGTGAGTATATTTGATACTTTGCTAAGGCCTTATAATACTCGCGTTACTTCTCTGTCTCTTATGTTAAGCACTTTGGTATACCGCTGGTTTTTAAATGTGCTCTATAAATAAAGTTTGTTGTTGTTGTTTGCCATTCCTGGACTGTGCCGTGGGCATTGAAGGGAATGGAAACGTCAACCCTGAAGTTTACTGGAAGCCCACACACACACGGACCACACACATGTTTCACAATGAGTTCCCTCGAAACCTTGGCTGATTATGACCTACACCAGTTTTCACACCTTGGCTCATGTGATTAGGTAGAGGATCATTAGGACGTCCACTGTGCCTCTGTGGGGGGGGGTGGTACACTCGCATAGTTGACCCTTTAGAACTGAAGAAGCTTCTCGGATGAGAGGTGAAACTTCAAGCAACTTAAAGAAGTCCGGACACTCTTCTTTCCAAGCTCCTTAGACAACGTGTCTAAATTAAAATTAGCTCAAGATCACTGCATTTTTCTTTGCCATTCTTTAAATTTGATCCTGTGTTTGTGGGAGCTATGAGATTTTTTTTTTACGTTTTTTTTAATCCATGTATTGCAGGGGTGGGTAACTCCAGGTCCCAAAGGCCTGTGTCCGGCAGGTATTAGTCATCACCCTGGGTCAACACACCTGAATCAAATGATTAGTTCATTACCAGGCCTCTGGAGAACTTCGAGACATATTGAGGAGGTAATTTAGCCATTTAAAATCAGCTGTCTTGGATCAAGGACACATCTAAAACCTGCAGGACAGTGGCCCTTGAAGCCTGGAGTTGCCCATCCCTGACATCCTGGTTTCCAGAACCAGATCTTGTCTGTTTTAATTGCTGTGCTGCCTAAGCACCCAAAGATTGCACTTCTTCAATACCTTTATTTTTAAGGATTTTAACTAAAATAAATACTTGAGAACTATTTATTTCATTGGTGAATTATTCACCTATGCAGGCTTCTACAGAGTAGGGGGCCTCTCCACATCTTTAGTCTGGAAAGACTGAGTCAGTTTATGTATTTATTTTTTAAATACCCAGTCATGTTACTAACCAATTTAACTAGTTGTTTAATATTTGTCCTTTCACCATATTTCATTAAATTAAAAACAACACTTTGTTGTCACACAAGGGGCAGGGATAGCTCAGTAGGTAGAGTGGTTGCCCCATGATCGGAAGGTCGGGGGTTCGACTCCACTGAAC